TTTTTTTTTTTTTTTACAGAAACACTGAATGACCAAAAAAGCACCACCACCAGTCCGAAGTTCAGTTAAAATGACTAATATGCATTCATACATGGTTATCAAGTTTTAATTCTAATTACAAAAGTTCTATCATTAAATAACATTGATTATCATATTATAATGCTTGACTGACTGATATATGTATATGTATATATATATATGTATATGTGTGTGTGTGTGTGTATGTATATGTAAAAATAAAGTTTTACATAAAACAATAATGTACTAAATTAATAAATGTAAATGTAAACAACAACAAAAATCCTTGTATATTTTGTAACATGTCAAACGATTATGCTGACCATATAATTATGGGGGGGAAAAATGCTAAAAAAAAAAAAGCTAAAAATTACAAAATAAAATTGCAAAAATTATGGAAAACTTGCCAAAGAAGGACATTTCGCTAGTGCTTTCAAACAGCCCGTTATGCTGCTTGATATTGCAAACTGGTATTTGTTATCATATAATATAAATTATCTGTCTATCTATCTATCTATCTATCTATCTCTGTCTGTCTTCTAATAAACAATGCTAAAGAAATTTGCAAAAAGAATTTAAAAATAATGGGGGGAAGTGCAAAATAAAATAGCAAAAATAATGAAAAAAGGATTAAATAAAATAGCAAAATATTGGAAAAAAATGCAAAATAAAATAGCAAAAATTATGAAGAACTGTCAAATAAAATCACTATATCTGTCCATCTAATAAAAAATGCTAAATAAAATTGCAAATACAAAAAAAAAAAAAAAAACGAAAAAATTGCAAAATAAAAGCATTTCTGTTGGACCCCGCTTAGTACATCAGTTCCTCTGAATATGGCTTAGTTCAACAGAAAATGTGCATTTCATGTGCAAGTTTTGTGAGTTGATCTGATGATCCATCTTATTTTTAATGTAAAAGCAGTGTGGACGTTTATGTATATATTTATCAGTCTGGCGAGTAAACAAAAAAATTTACTAGCCAATGGCGATTCAATTGCCAAGGTGTTCGTAGAGGGCTGGGTTCGTGGTTTTTTTATGGTTTAGTGGTTTTTTTACGCATGCAAAATTTGCAACCTCAGGTCATCCAAGATGTAGATGAGTTTGTTTCTTCATCAGATTTGGAGAAATGTAGCATTGCATGCTATATTTCACCAATCTCCAATCTATTCCCATCATGAAGTTGAGAAAATTTTCAGCAAATTCATTTTTCCTTGAACGATTCCTTTAAGGATGAGTGCATATAATGCAACCCGTCAGTGTTGACTTCTAATTTGACTATAGCTCCTGCCAAGTGATAGATGAGAAAAGATTCGATGTACATTTGATGTCAACAACTAAAGATATGTAAAGCATTTCTCCTCCTTTTTAAAAGTTGTCCCATTATATTATTTCCATTTAGTACCATTTTTTCCTGCTCTCTGAAACCTATGTTACACACAAACATGTTACACACGCTGTATTCCTATGCAAACGTAAAAAACAGCATTTTAACACTGCGTGATTGTGATCCTAATTATTAGTTTCCACATTCTTCACCCTTGATTCCACAGAAGCCTGTGATTAGTTTGTTAGATGAATGTGAATAGGTCAGTTGCGCTCTATTCTGTGTGAACTTTTTATTGTGTTTTGCAACAAGGCTTTTGGTTAAACCCTCTTTTGAAAAGTGCTGCGAGCAGACGGCCGGCCCCTCTGAGCTATTGTAGCCCGACTCTCGAATGAGACTCTCTGGCAATGGCTTCTCTGAGTTCATGTGGAATGTATTTCCTGTTTGGGTCCCTTCACTTTGAGAATGAAAGAAAAAGCATGACTCGCTGCTTAATGGATGCTGCAGCAGTGCTAGTTATTTAAAGAAGTATTTTGATCATGATCGCTTCTTTTTTTTGTTCCTGACCTGTTGACAATGCAGGAATATTTTTATAGTCTGGGAGATTTTGCACTGTGCGTGAAATGGATTTGACCTATGTCTGTGGTCGGAAGGGTGGAAAGGAAATATTTTTGTGTTTGTGTGTTATCTATCTAAACAAAATCATTTAGAATCAAACCCGTGAGAATGATGCTTCTAGCATTTCAGTTGTTTTGCATTTATTCACAAATGAATTTATGCAGGTCTTAAATTTGAGCCAAAAGTCTTAAATTCATAGTCGTGGCTTTAAATGTTGCATACACTGCAAAAAATGATTTTATTCCTCAGTATTTTTGTCTTCTTTTAACATGATTGAACATCCTTAAAACACATTTACTAAAAATGAATATATTAAGTCTTGTTTTCAGAGAAATTGGACAAAATTAAGTGAGGTTATGCTTGACACAAGAACAAATATCTGTCTCTGAAAAAAAGACTTTTTATCTCATTTTGCTCCACAAGTAGCTGTAGCGTTAGCGTGATTAAATAAGAATCAAGATACCAAGACAAAAACACTGGATGGACAGCAGCTTTTGATATATTAAAAGTTTTATCCAAAAAAAGTAATAAAGATCTGTTTGAAGTTGCATTTGCAAACTTTGAAGTGATGCTAATAGAACTCAGTGTGTGCTTCTTAGACATTTAGAGAACATTCTGATGAACTGTCTCCTTCAATTTATTACTTACTTGATCTTTAAAAGATCTTAAATGTACTTTCATAAAACCCACAGAATCCCAGTATTGGCATTTCTGAATGTTTATGTATGTTATGCATCCTCCTGTGAAACACATCAGATCACAAAAGGAAGCATTTGACTGGTGTTGTGGAGTAAAAAGGTTATAATGTTCTCTTTTGTTGGACAACAGGTTTAGAAATGTGAATAAAAGGGAAGTTTAGGCATTTTAATTTTAAGCATAGTTAACGGAATTAACGGAAGGCTACCTGCTGCCATCAGAGCAAGTTACTGCATTCACGCGCTCCTCGAATTCCCGAGTTGCATGGACACTCTCATAACTACAAGATGTGTTGGATTTGTATTATTGGAGCTTTCCGACTTGAGTTCACGTGCATTTTCTCAGTCGGGAAATTATTTTTCACGTGCGGTAAGATGATGTTTCTTACGTCCGTTTTGGAGAACCAGAGGACAAATATTTAAATCGATCGCTCAGGCTTGGCAACGAAATCTGCGTTCGGATTCGGTTCTAGTACATACCGGTTACATAGGTACCGGTGCCATATTGGTAACCGGGTTTCGGTACCCAACCCTATTGGAGAGCGAGAGAGAGCGACAGAGAGAGAGAGATGAAAGTTGCGTGTATGCGCGCCGGTGCGTTTCTCTTTTTAGAGTGAGTTTACTTCAAAAACAGCGATTTTATCCTCTTGTTGCTGGAAAATATATATATGTGTGTGTGTGTGTGTGTCAGTAAGCAGCGCATTAATATAGAACGATAATTAAAGGCTCTAATGCTCACCAGCATAGGTGTGTGTATTGTAGGAGCTAGACGACGTATGATGACGTGTGACAGCATAGTAGTGGTGTCCCAATTCTTAGGGGAATATTTTCAAGTGTATCCTTCTGTTTCAAGGGGGAAGGGGTAGGCGGAGGGGTAGGGGTATAAAATAGAATTGGGATTGGGCCTAAACCTCTGTTTCGTTTAGTTAAATGTACGATACTTGCTTTGCCTTGGCCTGGAATGAGTTTACGGATGCAGTCTCGGATGAAAGTCTTGATGGTTCGGAGGTTCGGTGGTGTAGGAGTCGCGATCACTTTCTTCCGGGGTTGAAGAGTGATGAATTCCAAAGATGTTCTGACTCGATGGTGATTGGGAGTTTCTTCCCAGTGGAAGTGAAAAAGACCTAAGAGAGGCATCAGCTGAGATCCTAGGATCTTTGGTGAATGGAAAGTCAAGGCCCGAGGCCTGGC